CTAAGTTTATTGTTTACTGAATATGGAACAAAATTGTTCAAGAAAAAAACAAATCAGAAACATCTGTTCATCAGTAAAGAGTTAAATCTGGATGAAAATTCATTCTTCTTCCCAGAAACATATTTATCATATTTGTCACTGCGGACACTTTCCTCTGTCAAAGCAGTATTTGTGGTTTTAAACTTCGGATGATCCCTTCAGCTGYCCTCCTTCGTGTCTTTCTAGGATTCTTGACTTTCGGAGAGTCCCCCCGGTGGCAGGACGACTTGTCAACATGACCAGCGAGATTCGAGACGTGACACGAGACAAGAAGCTGTGGAGGACCTTCTTCATCTCACCAGGTAAAGACTCCGTCAGCGCCCACAGCTCGGCACAGACATGGAATTTATTTGTCTGCTTCCAACAATAAGTTTACTGGTTCCCCTCTGTGCGAAGAAGGTCATAAACATGCAGCTRAGGTGATGTGATGAAAAGGAAAGTAACAAAAAGTGTCCACATGGTGGCACTGTGAGACAACACAAAGGCAAAACAACATAAGTATAATAAATTCTATTTATAATTTTTTTTTTTGCAAAAAACATCCTAAAAGGGACAGCAAGGATACTGACACCAGCCAGTATGAGCACAGAAACCTACGGTAAATACATTCATTGAGGCAGAAAATACAAATATTTATGTTTTTTTACTTGGTCCTAATTTCCTACAAGCTCATTTCACGCTGCAGGCATTCGGCTAATAGAACACAAATTGGGAAACAGATTGAACTGTTTACATTTTATCCTACAACTGTGTTTTATTTATTTATTTATTTTTTCTTTAATTTGGCCTAAAGCAAGTTACCGAGCATTCAGGCATGAATGAACTTTTTAAGTTTAATTGTATAAACAAATAAGTATTTGCCTCTATGTACTTGTTTAAACAAAAAAATGCTCAACACTTTTTTTTATCGCCCGCCACCAAAAGGGCGAAAGGCCGGTGAGGTTTTCGCCCATGTCGATCATGTTTGTCTGTGATCAAAATATCTCATGAACCAATGAACAAATTTTATTGAAAGTTTCAGGAAGTAATCATTAGACATACATTTATTACTGATTAACTCTTGGAACAAACCTGATTCAAGACGGCTGGCAYAGACAACTAACTTTGAAAACACAAAATAGCCATAAGTCTGTGATTTTTACATATATTGACMTAGTATTTTTCCTCTCCTTATTCTTATTTACTATATATTAGCATACCTGATATATGCACATGTTTTTTCAAATTAACTTTTTTCAGTGGCATTTTCTGAAAACTTGCGATTTTATTTCCTTTCTTTAGCCAATAACGTCTGCTTCTACGGCGAATGCTCCTACTACTGCTCCACTGAGCATGCTCTGTGCGGTAAACCGGACCAGATTGAGGGCTCGCTCGCAGCCTTTCTGCCGGACCTGAACCTGGCTAAACGGAAGACCTGGAGGAACCCCTGGAGACGCTCCTATCATAAAAGGAAAAAAGCAGAGTAAGCAGCATGATGACATTTTCTTATAAAAACCCTATTTATCCTGGAAGATCTGTTTCATTTCATGTTTTTTCTTTGATAAAACTGTTGAATAATCTCAGGTGGGAAGTGGATCCAGATTACTGCGATGAGGTGAAGCAGACGCCTCCGTACGACCGTGGCTCTCGACTGCTGGACGTCATGGACATGACYATCTTTGACTTCCTAATGGGTAAACTGTATTTACTGTACAATAAACTGACAAATGAGATAAATATTGACCCTGCTCCTAACACGGACTAAACTGATGCCTTCTTCCTGCTCAGGTAACATGGACCGCCATCATTATGAAACATTTGAGAAGTTTGGAAACGACACCTTCATCATTCACCTTGATAACGGGAGAGGGTAAAGACTTTTAGCTACTTTTAACTGTATTTTAAGTGTGTGACAAACCGATGTAGGAAAAAGAACATTAGTCTGCTGTGAAAATTGTTATTATTSCCATTAAATACATTTATCTAMATAAKCAGAGTTTGTTATTGTGAATATAAGTTTTTATTCATTTATGTTTCCTGGTTGTAGGTTTGGAAAACACTCACATGATGAGYTGTCCATCCTGGTGCCTCTCAGCCAGTGCTGCAGGTTGGACTTTTTCTTAAGACTTTCACAGAATTCAGTTTTATTTGTTGATTTATTGGTGCTGAGACAACCTTTTGGGTGCAGTTTAAATATTATTCATAGGGTTCAGATCTGGACTTTTATAAGAACAATGAACTATCCGTATAATAAATTCGGGGTCAATGATTTGTTAAGACATCAAAAAGYGTTCAAAAGAATTATTCCTCCTATTTACCGTATATACTGTAACTCTGACTGAATACTCTGGTAGAATTCTACTAGCATCTAAATTGCCWAATTTCATGCTATTGCAAATTATCAGTCATCCAGGGCTCACTAATCCTAACAAACTGAATCAGAAGCTGAATGTTTTTTTGGATTTTTTGTTCAGTGTTCCTAACAGTCTAAACTATTTTTTTTTACAGCAGATGGTAAAAAGTTRTGTCTTCTTTCAAAAGGCTACAGACTCTTCACACTGTAGGAGCGCCTGTTCTATGGTTTATTTGACAAACTCTACTTACATTTAGCTGTTTGTATTGATAATCWAACAAGCTACGGTTAAAAGAAATTCTCCTAACGTTTGTGTGTCTGTTATCTTCCTCTTTGCTCYTTAGTGTTTCATTTTGCACAGTGTGATCCAGTCAAAGTTGTAATGTTTGTATGTGTCAACGTCAGAAAAGTGAGGTTAAAAAGTGTGCAGTTGATAAAAGGACAGTTTTAAACTTTTAGTCAGCTTTAAATTTGGAGTTACAGGTAAAAAAAATCAATCTGTTCAGAACAGCTGGGTTTCAGAGGGTTTCGAGGGTTTGATAACGCACGATTTTAAATGGTGGGCTGGAGGTAAAATGTCTAAAGAGAAAACCATTCTAGGGTCCGTACTGTACCGATTTAAATCCAGTTTCAAGACAGAGACCAACAATCAGTTCACAAATATGTTGGACATGATCCGAATGTTCTGAAGATGAATGAGTTTTCAACAGAACCGACTTAAAGGGAATCACARTTACTACATTTACTTCAGCTGTAAAACAACTATAAAATACTGTAGGCTGTTTTGTTTTTATGAATTTAAAGAAATACACTATCATATAGACAGTGCCTTTTTATTAATTCGCAAAGCACAATATAATAATAATCACAACTACGTAAATGAGCATTTTATGACAACCTGATGCAATGATAACACAGCCACTTAGCTAGCTAACATTCCTCTCATGAAGTGGTCGCTGCAGACACCAGCATTAGCAGACGCTGCTCCTCCAGTTGCAGACGTAGGGTTAAAATCCACTTTTTAAGACRTTCTGTGAGCTTTCTATGTCTGTTAGTTTTGTGTTTGACAGTCGATAATATCCCTTTTCTCTGTAAGAACCRWTTAAGCAGCCAAAAACTACAGAAAACTGGATTTTTTTTCCAGATGGCAGATCCCCCACTACTTCACTTYCTGCCCTTTATCTACATTTCCCGCTCTCACTGTCACCTGAAACCAGCCTGTGCAGGGTTTTAAACTAGTTACCTGTGTGTCGTCTCCAGGGTGAGGAAGTCCACGTACCTACGCCTCCAGCTTCTTGCCAAAGAGGAGCACCAGCTGAGCTCCCTGATGGAGGAGTCTCTGCTGCGTGACCGCCTGTCCCCGGTCCTCATCCAGCCTCACCTACGCGCCATGGACCGCCGGCTGCAGCTGGTCCTGCAGGTGGTGGCGGGCTGCGTGGAGAAGGAGGGCTACGTTAACGTGGTGGAGGAAGACCTGCTCGGGGACACGGCCACTCACAGGGGCCCTGGCCCCAGGTAGTGAGGGCGACACTTCAGGGCGACGACACTGAAACATGGACCACACGCCTGTGGCTGTTGGACCTGTAAGGGTTAGACCGAGAACAGTCTGATATCAAGCTGAATTCAGTGAATTCCAAGACTGCCATCGTTGCCTCCACAGGAACTGCTTTAAACTGTGTTTATATAAAACTAAATRAGAACAGATCGCTAATTCCACCAGAGACTGTGTTTACACAGAGAGGATCGATATTYGTCAGGTACAGCTATATTTTTCTTTTATCTGTAGGAGACATAAAGAACGTTCTGCTGGGTTTGTTTTGTTTTATTATAAGAATCATAACCAAATGCGAACGCTGACTGAGCAGCGTCTGGTCAAACAATAAGCTTTATTAATCCTCACATTGTTTCAAACAACTGGAAATGTTTCTGTTCCTGTCTGTTAGACACATTGTGTTCTCTGAATGTTGCAACAATCAGGTCGCATCTGAAAATAACCAGGAGAAAATGCTGTAAAGAAAACATGGGTCCTCCTTTTCTCTGTCTTTGTTTGGTTTTATTTTTAGCTCAGACCTACAGTAGCTCACAACAAATATTTTTTTACAACCTAAACAACGTAAATCTAATGAGTCATTCACACTTTAATGCAAAAAGTGTTTTCAATTTGCTTTACTGAAAGAGACAGTTCAAATCTTTTAAAACAGGGTTCAGTGGGAAGGTTATAAACAAATCATATCTTACCTGTTGTAGATAGCTTTTGGGTTGACCTTAGTTTGGAGTTTATTTCTGACTGACTCAGTGAGCTACTGGATAGTCCAAGTGAGACCAAGAACAAAGAACCTAAAGGAGATAAATCATRTTTTTAAATCATTATTTAAATCATTCTGTTGGGGTCTGTATAAAGTGGAACTGCAATGCTTTGCTCTGAATTCCTCCTTATTGTAACTCCAYAAGCCCCTCTTTCACCTCTTTTCTGAGGTGTGTCTCAGATCAACTCGTTTTGATGCTGTCTCTTTAAATTCAAACGAGGCACTTCACACCCCGCCCCCTCCAGCTTCCATTTTAATTTGATAAAGGGCTTCAAGACTGTATTTAATAATTAATTAAAAGATGTCAACAACAGAAGATTTGTTCATCCAGCCTTACATGTTGGAGCCAGAGGAGAATGAAGACCACCAAATTTTAGTTCGTAAGTCTAGAACTTATTTGGCAGTTCTGTTGCAAATACTGTGATGTATTCGTTTATAAAACATCATTGAAGCGAGAGAAAACTGAACAAGTTCAAAAATATAATCAAACAGAATATAAAGAAATCTTTGCAGCACCGGGAGAGACTAAAGACTAAATTCTAATTTTCTGCTCTCCCAGAGACTCCAAGTACACAACAAAATGTATTTAACAGCTAAAAAAGTGGATTTTGCATATGTCCCCTTTAAAACAGCTTCAAACTCAAAAACAGCGTTAACTACAACAGGTAAGATATTAACTGTCCACAGGTCTGTGCTCTCACTCAAAACTTTGAATAGCAATTTACTTTTTTATTTCCTAATTACACACAGACAAAAATCTAATAAAAATCTAATAATCAGGACTATAAAGCACATTCACAGTCTTGTGTGAGTTTATTTACTAAGACCAACTTTATTTAAAACTTTTATTCCTAAAAGCAGACCTGAAGCAGTCCGTTTGAGGCACTCTGGTGGAATTTTAAAGTTTATAATGCAAGTCAAAATGTTCATTTCTGTATTGTTTCTTTAGAATTTATTTATTGGTGAACCAAAAAAAATTCCACGGCTGCCATACGTTTTTATTTCCTGCTGTGGTTTCTTGATGAAGCACAGTATTCATTCTCATACTCACTTTGGGATGTGGATCCTGCTTAAACTAACATTCCTTTGAATTATATTTGTGTGTTCAGATTATTGTTTTTTTAAATAAGCAGTTTAATTTTTGAGATTTTGGTGGTATTAGTGCAATTTTCTGTTTTTGTTTTGTTTGTTTTTTTCTCCTCCAAAGAGTCCTGTGTATTTGCTGATCCAGTATCTGTGCAATGCCAGAAGAGCTGTACTTGAATGTGTCCGGGTTGGCAGTATTACYGGGATTCACAGAGCTACAAACGATGTAAAGTCTAGTTTAAAAAGTGCTTTAGGGGGAAGTTAAGGGTGCAAATGTCTCATCCAAACACAGGGGAAACTATGGGCACTGTTTCGTTTTCCTGTTTTTTTATATAAATATATTTCCAGTGTAAATACATATAAATATTTTGAGGATCTGATAAGCTGCACTGCACAGTAATTTGCTTCTGTTTTCTGCTTTTTGCATTGTTACTGTGAAGATCTGTTTACTAAATGATTAAAGTGTGCAATAAAAAACAAAACAGGACGTGTGTGATTGGTTGCAGGTGTGTGAGTTTATATGTACACGTGGAGGATGTCACTTTTGAGTGTTTGAGGTGTGGCGAGTGGCTGAAACAACAGCGTGGTAATAAAGGAAACGTTTCGCTGTCCGTGGTGCTGAAAAAGCTCTGCTGTGTTCTGGCTGCTGGCAACACGAAAATCAGTGTTATCCGTAATGATGAAGGAGATGGAGGTTCATTTTTAATAAATCTGATTTATTATTTTCTTATTTCAAATAGTTACATCCTCCTCCTAATCAAGCACTTTAACAAAGATTGTTTTTATTTTTCTTGCACGTATTTTTTGTGCTTCTGTTGTTTATTTATTCAATCTTACACATAATAACAGCTGCTTTTTCAGAACAAAAAAAGTACAAACAAATTCTGAACAGCTCTTAGTTTTATTTACGTCTGGTTTGCTGACAATAAAATAAACCTGTACTGGTTTGTTTCTGCCAGCAGAGGGAGTCAGTGTTCCACTTCCCTGCCTGTATTACCAGCAGCTGCCTGCAGGGGGCGATAGCGCGCTTTCAACTGATTGAAGTTGTTTACATCCGTGTAGCGGCCTTTTGATGTCCTGATTTGACATCACAGCCAGTGATTGACACGTTTGTGCTTCGGGGGTGAGCATTTTATCATTGCTTTGAGTAATTTTACAAATGTTTTCTGACCTATAAGACATAACGAAGCAGGAGACGACGATGTGAAACCGAAAAGACAACGTTTTATTTGTTGACGCAGATAAAATTTGAAGAAAAAAAAATACATTATGTTGTTGCACTTTAAGTCCCCTCCACTAGGTTGCGCAATGTACTAGTGAATTCAAAAAGTTTTAGAGATTTAGTTGTGGAAAAAACGCCATCGCAATCTCTTTTTTTAAGACGTCTCGTGCGCTTCCTGACATTATCAGCTTTGACAATGGAGAGACAAACTATTTTCTCCCCCGGTAAACGGAGCAGGGCCACTGAACAGGCCGCTGTGTGTTGATGTTTACGCACATCAGACCTTCACATTCTCCTGCCTGGTAACAGTATCCAACGCCACTGTCCTCCTTGTCTCCATGGCAACAAGAGAGCCACCCCTTCCTGCCCTGCTTCCAGTTGATCCAATAAAGTGGTCAAAACCCAGCCGACACTGACCCGTTCACCTCTCCTGCCCCACCTGCAGCAGAAAACTGGAAACTTCTCTTAAAGGGATATTTCCGCCAGTTTAAAGAGAGGTTCTGGAAATGTCTCTTGTCATGGGGAGATGATGCTGAAGAACAGATTCTCTCTRTTTCTTAATGTGGACAACTCGTCTTATGGGGCGTTTAGTGAATGCTTRGTGGGAAGCATCATGATCCAGTTCTGTGTGACCTGAACAAGTGTGAAACTGTCATGGAGGTCACTGCACCAATGATCACACGCATCCAAAAGAAGTTAGAACACATGGAATAAGGAAAACTTCAGACTGTCACAGACGGTCTSGTGCTAAATGTGTTGATGTTGATTATAGAGATCTTTTCACCTACAGACAGTTTTTGCCCTTTAATATTACAAATGTGTRGATATGAACGGTCTTAAACCTTAAACACATCTATATAATTGTATACTGTTTATTTGTAAACAATAATACACACCATGCAGACAACTATAGACCACAATATCAAATGCATTTAACACCATTAAAATAAAAACCCATGCATTCAGTAAATATGTGTACCAAATATGATGTGCAGCCAAGAAGGTTGTTTTATACACTCACCGGCCACTTTATTAGGTACACCACGCTAGTAACGGGTTGGACCCCCTTTTGCCTTCAGAAC